AAGAGATCCAAACCTGAATCTAGTTCCTCCTCTACAAAAGCTTCACATTATGAGGATTATTTGTTGTTTAAATCTCTTGTCAATAAATATAGGGAGTTGTGCAAACTGAAAATTCTCCCAACTAGATATATCATTTATTCTCAGTTATTCATGTATGATACTGAGTCTATCCTTCACAATGTTGGGCTAGATAGATTGCTAGATGAGAGACTTAAAGTTCCTTATTATCCTTTTTTTAGTTTATCTGTTTTATGCTAACATGTCCACATCATCCTCTGCTAATGGTAGTTTGACCATTACCTCCTCTGTTAAAAATGTTGCAATAACCTTTTATGCCAACGAACTTGCGGGGATTCTTCAAATCCCAACAGGTGACGTTGATCTCAGGTCTATTGAACTTAGTGATCCAGCTGTCAACCAACTCATGTTTAAACCCGGCTTCTCTTATCCTATGAACAACAATTCACTCAATCTAATTGCAAAACTCATTGCTAGAATCTTTGCTCAAAACTTAATTCCTAAGACCGGTAGTTTTGATCACTTTGCTTCTGATAAGATTAATGCTGTCTTTGCTCAAAACTTAATTCCTAAGACCGGTAGTTTTGATCACTTTGCTTCTGATAAGATTAATGCTGTCTATGCCATTTTTGCCAAAATCAAAGTAGATTGGGCAACTGTGTTTCTCAATAACATGGCATCAAAGCATACAAAATTTCTACCTTTTGGTTCCTTTCTCACTATTATCTTTCAACACTTCGGTGTTAATCTCACCAATGAACCAAAAATTGAAGCCAAAAAGGACTTCTTTGATAAGGTTTCTCTTTCTAGAATGAATATGTCCATTGATTCCACTCGCTCCCGTTCTAGAGCCTCTACCTCATCCTCTTCTGATATTTGTGACCGTCTGGACCGTCTTGAGACTCAGTTCTCAAACGTTCAGAAGCAGGTCTCAACTATTCAAAGGGATGTTAGGACAATTCTTTCATATCAGCGTCAGTCTCTAGGGATTCCAGATCTCTCTTCTAGTTCTAAGTCTGATTCTGGTGAGGACCATGCTGATGGCTCAGGCTCTTCTGATGATGATGATGATGATGATGGTGATGGCAATGGTGATGATGGTGATGACTGATTGGAGTTCCTCTATGATGTTTTTTATTTGTTTTGATATTCTATTCTGGGTTGTAAAACTTGAAAGCTATATTTTGTTTGAGTGTAATAACTCTATGGATTTATGTGTGTGGTTTGCTACCTTGTGGACGAATCTATGTTTATGCAAAACCATATAGTTTCAAATGCTTATGTGATGATTTGTGACGTATTGTGTTTAGTTTATTTCTTCTATGATCAATGCACAGTTGAAACAACATTCATGTTTTGGTGTGTGGAAAATAAGTTGCTTATCATGAGTTCTTTATACTATTTATGATTTGTTAGTTTGCTTAGCTCCTTTAATACTCTTTAGTGTCATTTATTCTATTTGACAGGGGGAGCTTTTGGCATACATTTCTTTATTTTTATATATCTGTGATTATAAGCAGGGGGAGCAATGCTCCATTTTTTCCCCTTTTTGATGTTGTCAAAGGGGGAGAAAAATCCACATATAGCTCATATAATTATTCCATATATGGTTTATGTGATCATTCATGAATGGTTTATCTATGCTTGGCTTATATGTGGGTTATCTGTTTATGGTTCATATAAAATTGTTTGTCATCATCAAAAAGGGAAAGATTGTTGACCCTATAGTTTTGATGATGATTTAGCAAACAATTTACCACTAATAAGTTTTCTAGTGTTTTGTGTTTATGCTCTCTTTTCAGGTATTTCAACACATATCAATCAAGCGTTAAAGATTCAAGTTCCTTCGTGTGGATTTACCTAGGTATATGTTTAGTTTACTTACATATATTGTATGATTATATCTAAGCTCAATATATGTACACTTAACACGTTTTTTTTGACGTTTTCTATCATATAAATGATTTTTCATCAAACGTTGTTACAATAACTTTTATCTCATGTTTACAGCTCTTTCGTTCTTCATTATATACATATAATACATGCACACTATATATATGCATATTTACAAGTCCTACATCAACTTTCGTTCTTCATTATATACATATAATACATGCACAATATATATATGCATATTTACAAGTCCTACATCAACTTTCACCTTCATAAAAATACATGTTTTCTAAGCATTTTTCAAAAACAGGTAGTTTTCACAAACGATGTTTTTCCAAAAATTCCTTTTCAAACATGTTCATTTCATCATTTAGAAACTTTCCCCAAAGTTTCACTATTTTTGGATGTGATTTGATATTTTTAACGAATTTTCAAAACTGCCCAAAACCTGTCAGTATTGCATATATCAGATTTCGGTCGACCGGTACGATCGACCGACAGTTGTTCCTTTTCTGAGAAAATTTCCAGAGAGTTTTCCGGTCGACCGGAATTTCCATCGGTTGACCGAAATTTCCATTCGGTCGACCGAAAATTTCTGTTGGTCGACCGCCAGCTTTAAAAGTTCATTCTCTAGGTTTTTGAACTAAGCGGTCGACCGGACCGGTCGACCGCCGAGTTGTCAGATGTGTATAACGGCTAGGTTTTCAAATGGGCTTTTTGGTCTTTTTGCCTTAGTGTGGGATTTAGTGAGTGTGAGCTTTATTGTGTTCTCACTTGTTAATTGAGAACAAATCATTGTATTGAACCTTTATTTGTGAGATTCACTTGTAACACACTTGTACACCGAGAGAAGTGTGAGGAGAGAGAGACGGGGTCAAATCCAATAGGAGTGGCGTCGATTGACGAACCTAGGGAGAGGTTGTAATCGAGCACTTGAGGAGGAGGACACGGGCTAGGTTCCTACACTTAGTGTGTAAAGTGTGTTTGTTGAGTGATTGTGTAGTGTGAGAGTTTTCGGTGAGCTTGTAAACCGAGTGTGTAGAAGTTCCGGCTTCCAAACCGGATTGTGATAGTGGATATCTCCTCGAGGTGAGGAGCGGGGACGTAGGTCGTGGGGACCAAACCTCGTGAACATATCGTGTGTTTGTGTTTTGCTTGTCTCATATTTTATTTGTGCATATTCTTATTGTTCTTATTGTTCATATCTATTTCTTGCAAGAACATATTGATCTATATAATTTTAATTGGCTTTTAATTGGAATTAGATTAGCATAAGACTCTAATCACCCCCCTCTAGGGTCTAACATTATACTCTGCCTAAACGAACTAATTCAAAACTAGGATAACATCTGACTCGGCATGACCGATTTGGTTGGCCGACATCTCGCATAATTGAGTCAAAAGGCGGTACTACTTGGTCAACCTCCAAATTGACCACCGGCGATACGACCCGGCCCACTATTCAGCTGATATCTTGCGTAACCGAGTCAAAAGGCGGTACTTCTCAGCCTTTGGCCCGAGGAGTCGAAAGATGGCAGTTACCCCGAAGCCCTCGCGAGCCAACTACTCCCGCATTAATTGTCCTGACAACATTATCATTACCCTGACTCGATAATCTTTATGACTCATTAGACCCAGTCAACACCAAGCACCTGTTGTCATTCCCACAGTAAATGACCAGGTGACTCACCTCATTCAGCAATCGACACATAGCACATGTCTGCCGACTCAGCTGCCTAGCTGGACTCGACCCAAGTTATATTTTTTCCCCTCAAACCCACTATAAAAGAAGCGGCACTACATGAGGTAACTCTCGCTAGCTTTTTTTACGTAACAGAGAACTAACTCTATTTTTTGCACTCAAAATCAATTACTGACTTGATTGTCGGAGGAACACCCAGAAAACCAAACTCCGCCCTCTTCCTTCATGTGCAGGGAAGAGCAACGAGCCCCATAACCACTCATCAGAAGGAGTTAGAGGATCCTAATCATTCTACAAATTGTCAAACAAATCCCCTGATTGATAACTAACATCAACAATAATTGATAACAAATGCCAATATCATAGAAAGATCCAGGCACCGCTAGGCGTCGAGCTAGCACCTAGGCAAATTTCTTTTTTGTTTAAAGAGTGATGGATGAAATTTTTTGATAGTTGGGGGTGGTGAACGAGGTGTTCGTAGTTAGTGGAGGAGACTAAAGGAGCTTGGAGGACGTGGATGCTACAATGAAAGAAATCACAACCAAGACTTGAGCTGCGTAGTCCATGTAAGTAGTCCACACTCCTCTAGGTGCTTCCAAGGCCTATGCAAGCAGCCTAGGTACCGTCCAGGACTAGGTGAGCGCCGAGATAGGCTAGGCGCTAGCTTTTTAAATCATTGATGGAGTCAGAACTGCTTCCCAATCACACCCCCTTTCGATGTTAAGTTAGTGATTTGCGATTATAAGGCGTTGCGGAACTGAAAACTTCATATGTTAAAAGGTAAAAGGAGCTTTCACGCCGCTCATGACTCTCAGTGAGCGTGTACCACGTAGTAAGGCATGTTGGCGCGAGACATTGGAGCATCTACACATTGTCTAGTAAGTTAATTACTTCGGCTGAGAAATGACTTCTAATGGTGATTACTTCTAATGGTGATTAAACCAAGGACATCAATGGGGCCAACACAAAGAACTAATTAGCCGGTCTCTTTTGGACTATAGTGAGTTTGGACTATAGCCAGACATAGATGCTTACTGGAATTGGAAAACCACGCTTTAGTACCAAGACCTTGGACCCAAGTGTAGGTTGGGCTTTGGATTGATGGGTCACTTCCTACGGTAACTTGTCTAAGAATTAATGAGAAGCGCTAAAAAGATAAAGGGGGGAAAATAAATTAAAGGTCAATTATAGTTTTGAATCTGTTACCACCCTATTCCGTCTATATTCAAGATGATGACTGATTCTCAAGAACGATGATCAAGAAAATATAAACCATGGGAGCCAAGGAATTAAAATACTACATAAACCACCATTTACTAGCAAAAACATACTGCAACCTGCACACACAGCTCCATGACCTATAGAAAATTGAGCAGAAAAAAACATAGACCGGGAAAATACCTTTTCTATATGATTACTTTCTTCTATTGTCGAAAAGGTTCCAAAATAAATGCTCTACAAGCAAGTAGTCAAGAAAATCTTCCGAACTATAAAAAACTTACATACTAAATAAAGAATAGGTTAAGAGTTCCAACAAAAGGCTGATTCCATAGGATTGTCATGGTCTCGGTTGCAAGAAACTTATCATTGAATATATGGAGGATCGAGGAATGCCCACTTGAATATTTGCTCATACTGGGAAGCGGCGTTGTCCCATGTGAAGTCCTGCGACATCCCTCGCTTCATCAACCCTTCCCATGTATCCTTGTGCTCTCTATAGGTTTTCATTGCATACCTTAGAGCCTGCACGTAATCACGCCATGTTAATAAATACAATAAAGTTCACAATACATTACAAAAGGTATCTGAGGCAAGCATCTTGTGGTACAAAAAAGAACCGATGATACCATAAACTAGGAAAGAATGTATAGCCACCAGTTTGCATTTGGATACTTACATATTTATTGAACATCCCCAACCCAGAGGTAAAAAATTGTTATCAAGATAGTAAACCCTTCAACAGTGTATAAGACGCTCGCAACGTATGAAGAACTAATAAAATTGATCTCAATAGGACTACATTCTACTGAAACAACCAAGATGAAACTCATTTCAAATATGCTCTGTTATCCCCAGAGTGAAAAGCTTTACTGATGGCTTTCTAAGGTCCATCGTCTTCTGCAAACAATTTTTTTTAAAGGTTTTGTACAAAATTGATCTCAATAGGATTATCTACTCACCTGATTGCTAACACTCAAAGTTCCTTCATACCTAATGAGAGTAATTTAGGACTACATTCTCTTAGTTTCTGATCCAACAGGTATCCAATACAAGGTTTTGTGAAAATTAATTTGCATAATGTTTTGACTCTTACATTCATCCAACATAAGCCAATGTCTCTTTAAAGTTGGTGAAAAAACACTGGTATATCAACCCGCTGTCAGAATTTATTCCTGTAGATATCACTTTGCAATGCTGACTGCATAATGATAATACAGAAGTAGGCTACATGCCATAAATTAACTATTATTAAGATATCTCAAGAAGCCTTTAAAGATAAAATTTGTCTAATATACGCTGCATAGACATAATCATGGAACATAAACACATAAATATATAAAGCAATAAGCCAAATCTTAGAACACCAAGATGCGAATACATCTTGGACAAGAAAATTTTGTGTGCATGCATGTGATATGAATAAAGATTAACTGACAACCTCAAGAATCATATAAATCTTAGATTCACAAAATATATTAACCATGAAAATTAAACATAGTAATTAAAATATAGAAGTCACATCGGCTGTAATTTTAGCCACTTTTCTATATACTGTGTAGAAATATGTTCTTCTATCACTCACTGCAAAAGATAGTACAAGATTGTTTGGAACATTGCAATGAAAGGATATCGCTTTCTTTCTCCATTTTTATACAATTTGAATATAAGTACTTACTTTTAAATATAAATCAAAGTGTACGATTGCAATTTTCCTTAGGTTTATTATTAATGACATATTTGATGCCTGCTGCGCTCTTAATGCTTAGAATGGTGAAAGTATTGAAGCTGACTACCATAACATTCAGTACCGAGCGTACAAAATAGTAGGTGATAGTACTTACCACTAACATACTCTCCTTTGATAGTGGTGAAAACGTCCACCTGTTATAGCATTCAAATAAAAGCTAATCAGCAAATGTAAGATCTAGCACTTCCAATAATCATCTTTCTTATACATGGATAAACACAAACATTCATAAGCTGAAGCCTTTCATATATGTATTTTAAGCAACTAGGACTAAAACACTCAAAAGTTAAAGAGATGCTTGTATTGAAGTATGTCTGAATCAGTGGAATTAACAAAGCCATGTAATACAGAAATCCATACCCTGTACCCTGACCTCTGCCTTCATTGGCAAAGGGATTAAAATTCTCCACTGTATCCTGTATCATAAACAGAGACGATAGCATTAGATACTACCCATCTTTATTTAAGGTTAATGTTTAGATAGTCACTGTATTATCTCACTCTTAGGCCTCCTGTGGCATGAACTACTGGAACCGTCCCATATCTCATTGCATACAATTGATTTAGACCACAAGGTTCAAACCTAGATGGCATCAGAAGTATGTCGCACCTGTTCATTAAAATAACTTGATGAGATTCAATTTTATTTCCCTTAATTTTTTAATTATAGAAGGAAAACCTGTTTTCCTACCCAGCAGTTATCCGATGTGAAAGAGGAACATTGAATCCAACCCATCCACGGAACTTTTCTGGATAGGTAGCCTCAGCTGATCTCATCCATTCTTCAGTGGCAAGATCTCCTGATCCAAGCATAATCTGGAAACCAAAAATAAGGTTATTTAAGGAAAGAGGCAATACAGCTACAATATGTGGCAAATTTAGGCATTATCTGCATACCAACTTCAGATAATTCAGGTGATTCTAGATCTATCACTCAATTTTATATGATCATGAAGTTAGTTTTGCCAATTGAAATGATTATATAACTTACAAATTGAATGTCTTCATTCAAAAGCTCAGGCATGGCCATTCTGATAAGATCAGTGCCCTTCTGGTAGTCCAATCTTCCAATAAATCCAATCTGTGAAAACAATATAAAGTAAATATAAAAAAATATATTTGAGCTTCCAATAAACGAGAACACTAGAGCCTTTTCCTAACCACTGGGCAGTCAGGTCTGATAGGAAGGCCTATTTCTTTCTGTAATGCTTGTTTACAAAGAGCCTGCGTTTGAATCACAGAGGATATGAGCACTAATCTCTCAGAGTAAGGAGGACACCAACTTTATGAAATTTTTAAAAGATGAGATTCAATCCTACCTTCCCCGAGAGATCATCAATAGAATAACAAGATGGAATCTGTTTATCTTTAGCAGGGTCCCACTCATCAACATCAATACCATTAGTTATTCCTGGAAATGAAGAAAATGTGAAATAATTTAGATCCTAAAGGCCAATCAGAAGACACTTTCAGTATCACAAAAATATTGGCAAGAGATACATGAGTTAGGCATACCATTCAGCACACTTTTTCTACTGCCTAAGAGGTGATCAAGACCATATCCTCCTTCAATAGTTGTGATCTCCCACGCGTAGCCCTGCATTTAGATGTTAGCATTAGATGTTGATGTTTCAGTCTTCCTTATATGTACTCTCAAAAAACAGAGGTGTAAACGATAAACTAGCATATGACTTAATGTGATTACCTTACTGACTGTCATTATACGGTCTGCTGTTACAATTGCACCCTTAAGAATATTGACTGCCTCTCCCTTGTCAAGAGCATGTGCTCTCGCCCAAGTTGGAAAAATCCACTCTAAAGCGCTATACCACTCATTTGGCAGTCCCAAGTTCTGATATGTTGCTGCTGGTTCAACTCCCTTCCGTCAAAAACATATTAAAAATATAAATTATCTGTGTACTGTAATAAAACGTCATAGGAATCTATCCTATTCTAAAAGGAAAGACAAGCATACCTGATGTGCAAGATTATGGATTACAAGAATGCTGCGAGCATCTTTATAAACACCATATGGACGGTACTTCGCACCAAGAAGGCTGAACCAAGAATGATGTGAATGAGAAGATAGTAACCTAAAACTAAGTTGCTGATATTTAATAACTTTATACATGTAATAAATAACTTAAAAGTATGAATATGTTATGTTTCCACAGTGGTACATGTATTGTCAAAACATTCCTAAATATGAATGTCTCATGTGTGTCAGTGCATGAGTCTATTAGAAAACTTTTAGCAAATAGTTGAAGACATACACTGGCACAAGGCTTGCATGCCAATCATTAACAAGGAATAAGCATTTCTCCCCATAGGTATAGCCACCCAGAGGAAGTACCAAGGGAGCCTCGCATGCTGCATGACTAAGTAATGTAAACCTAAACTGCAAAAGCCAAACAAAATCATGAGGGTAAAGGATCTTACTTTCAAATTGGTAGTTCCAAGAATCAATAATGGTTATCTGGATACCTGATTATCACCAAAGGCCCCCCGTGTATCACCATATGGGTTTCCTCCTCTGTGGTAAGAAGGATGATCTACAAATACCTATTATTCATATATCAGGAGTTAGCGTCAGAGGTCTAGAACCATAGAAAACTAAGAACATCAAGAACAAAAAGAATATCATGTATATACTCCCAAGTTCATCACCGGAATGAAAGAAACTATAATCCCTAAAAATTCGAAAGGCTTCAGGATCAAATTTGAATTAGTGACTTAGAACATCAGGAGTCATCATGCACAATTATCAGAGAATAGCATTATTTAAATTATTGATTACTAACTATTGATAATACTAGGAAAAATAAGGTTACTAGATCTGCTAAGAGGCTTAGAAAAAGGACATGCAAAAAAAATAAAAAATAAAAAAATAAGAAAGGGAGAAAGGAAAGAAATAATTTACTCTCTATAATATAGAAAAGACACAAAGGCAAGAAGGCAAGCACAGATTATTTTAGCATTGACCAAAATTAGGAGAGTTCCCTACCCAATCAACACCAGCCCTATATTCATGAAAGAACGCAACTTCCTGTAGTCCTCCAAAGCAATTGATGTTAATGCGTCTTCCAAGGTCCACAGCATTATCATAATTCTTATTTGAAACTCCATTCAGGTATCTAGGAGATACAACCATCACACGATGACCACGAGCAGCAAAAGCAATAGGCAAGGAACCACAGACATCACCCAAACCTCCTGTCTTTGAATACGGAGCTGCTTCAGAAGTGACAAAAACAATGTTCAGTCTGACTCCAGTCTTTGGTTGCTCCTCTTTACCAGTGTCTTCTGCTTCTTCCGCACTTACATTGCTTGTTATAGAGATCTCCTTTGTCCCTGCACGCAGGTGGAAGAAAAAAAACTACTAACAAAACAGTTCTCTGCATTTATAAAGGGCTAAAATAAATATGCAAATAACTCCATTAGATAATTGGTCAAATTTTACTTCTGGCAAAAAATCAATTGAAATTGTCCAAATAAGATTCAAACCAGAACAAAAGATGGTAATCTAAACGGAGATATGAGATGTTCTGATGAAATTTGAAGAATACAACCCTCTACACAAAGAAAACTTTTATTGAAAGAATTGAGAATACAATACTTGTTCTTACAAGAACACCCCACTTTCACACAACTCCTTTATTTTGGTGGACACTCACACAAGACTACACTACACACTCAAGCTCTCAAGCTCACTTCTTGCTTGCTTGCCCAAATAAAAGCACAAGACCCCTATTTATAGTTGTTTAAGAGGGATAAGAAGTGTGTAGAAGAGTTAATCCTAGCCATACATTACTAAGAAGTTTCTAGAAGAATAAATACTAGCCATACACTTGTATCTTCCTAGAAACTTCATGGTAGATATTTTGTAGGATGTTACTAGAAAGAAGTTCTAGAAAATTGTTCTAGAATAATCTAAGTTGGTGAGGAATTCTAATACTCCCCTCATCACCAACTTTTATTTCTTACAAGTCCAAGCTTCTTCTTAAGCTTCAAAAATGTCTCTGTCTTTAGTGGCTTGGTGAAGATGTCAACGATTTGGTCGGAGCACCTTGATCTGATCGGAGCACCTTGATGTGGTACCCACTTTGTTTTTCTACCATCTCCTTGAATTCTTTGAATTTCTCCAGAGCTTCGAATTTCTCCTTCAGGAAATAAACCCATGTTTTTCTGCTATAATCATCAATAAATATGAGAAAATACATGTTTCCTCCAAGAGAGACGACTTCAAATGGTCCTGCAATATCTGTGTGGACCAATTGTAGCAGCTCTGTTGCTCTTCTTGACTTTCCAACTTCGAAACTTCTTCTATGTTGTTTGCCCTTCATACAGCCTTAACATAGCTGGTTCGGATGGTTGATTTGCGGTAATCCTTTCACCATTTTCTCCTTCCATAGAAGATTCAGGCCACTGAAAGCGAGATGCCCGAATCGTAGATGCCAGAGCCACGTCTCGTCTTTTATGATTGTCTTCAGGCACTTGACAGAATCAGCATGAATATTTAAGGTAAACAGTCTATTTCTAGACATGTTCACCTTTGCAATAACTTCATTTTTGTTTTTAATAGTGAGGGCAATGTCTTTTAGATGTATATCATAGCCTCTTTCAAGGAGCTGACCTAGGCTCAAAATATTATTTCGTAATGCTGGAACATAGTAGACATCAGAGATGTACCTGTTCTCGCCCGTCTTTGTCTGGATCATTATATTACCCTTGCCTTTTACTGGAATCTTTGACTGATCTTTAAAAGTGACATCTCCTTGTACCGTCTCGTTCAGCTCGGTAAAGAACTCCTTGATGCCGCACATGTGGTTACTGGCACTTGAATATAAATATCAGATATCTTTATTCTTGCTTTCGCTCTCCTGGTATGTTAGCAGGACTGTTGAAGTGTCTGTCTGCTCCCTTTCTACAAAGTTACTTCTTTCTGCCACTTGATTTGATTTCTCCCAACATTCGTAGCTGAGATGACCGTATTTCTTACATTTGTAACACTGTGGTTGAGATCTGTCCTCATGGTAACTTCTTCCTTGTCCTCGTCCTCGTCATCGTGTGCCACGACCTCGTCCTCGATCGAATGATCGTTCACGATCTCTATTTCGATATTGATTTTCATGGCCTCCTTGGTACTGTCTCCTACGACCTTGCTGGAAGTTTGAGCCACCTCGAAATGAGCCTCTGTCTCTGTAGCCTCCACATCCTCTTCGACTATCTTCTTTGATAGTCATCTTACTCTGCAAGGCTTGCTCTAGATTCTCCGCTTGATTTGAACTAATGTTTATATCTTGTTCATAAGCTTGCAGAGAACCTTACAGCTCATCAATCAAAACTTCGGAAAGGTCTTTAGACTCTTGTATTGTCGGAATAATATATTTGAATTTAGAGTCTAAAGTCCTAAGTATCTTCTCCATAATTCTTACATCACTAATTGCTTCTTCATTTCTCTTCATTTGATTAGTTATTGTCTGAACTCTACTAAAATAGTCCGATATTGATTCTGTAGCTTTCATCTTCAAATTTTCAAATTCAACTCTTAATGCTTGGAGGCGTACCTTTTTGGCTCTTTCCGCACCTTAGATAGGATTTTTGTAAAATCTCCCATGTTTTTTTAGAGGACAGGGCGTTAGAAATCTTCTCAAACGCTGATTCATCTACGCCTTGGAATATTAGGAACAAAGCTTTTTTGTCTCTTTTTCTGACCTCCTTCAGCTCACTCTTCTGTGTGGCGGTGAGAGTTGCTTCTGCTGCAAGTGACTCTGGTTCAGTGTAGTCATTCTCCACGAACTCCCACAAGTCTTGCGAGCCGAGCAAGACTTTCATCTGGATACTCCAATTGTCATAATTAGTCTTCATCAGCTTTGGAATCTATGGCTGGATCATATTCGCCATCTCGTACACGAGCACCTTCGATTGGCCCGGCTAGATCGAACATCTCGTACACGAGCACCTTCGATTGGCCCGGCTAGATCGAACCTTGCTCTGATACCACTTTGATGGATTTTGAAGAATACAACCCTCTACACAAAGAAAACTTTTATTGATAGAATTGAGAATACAATACTTGTTCTTACAAGAACACCCCACTTTCACACAACTCCTTTATTTTGGTGGACACTCACACAAGGCTACACTACACACTCAAGCTCTCAAGCTCACTTCTTGCTTGCTTGCCCAAATGAGAGCACAAGACCCCTATTTATAGTTGTTTAAGAGGGATAGGAAGTGTGTAGAAGAGTTAATCCTAGCCATACATTACTAAGAAGTTTCTAGAAGAATAAATACTAGCCATACACTTGTATCTTCCTAGAAACTTCATGGTAGATATTTTGTAGGATGTTACTAGAAAGAAGTTCTAGAAAGTTGTTCTAGAATAATCTAAGTTGGTGAGGAATTCTAATAGTTCTAACATGAACTAAAACTTATCATAAACAGACCCTAAACCTACACTTTACATGAAATTGCAATATGTTCAATAAATAGTTGCCACTAGGCATCAAATCTCAAAAGGAGTGGACTAATTCCACCATCAAAGCAAGGTACACGAAAAAGATGAAGATGAATATGAAACAGCAAGCAATACTAATCAATTCCCAAGTTTTGTTTCCCACAAGTTGCACTCAATCCACAAGTTTTGTTTCCCACTGACAATTCAAGTAAACTCTACTAAATTCATAAAGAGTTCAATTATATGGGCCAATGAATTATAATCTAAACCATCAGTAATAACTTTCAAAAGGAACCACAAATCAGCAGTCGGGCCTACAAAATCCTGTCTCCAAAACCACACCACGAAAAAAAAACAAAATAATAGTAATAATAATAATAATAAATTACAGGACCAATTAAAATATAAAAAATGCATTCCCGAATTACTCAGTTCAGTACCTAACGATCAAAATGGATATCAATAGAGAAATAAATTCGCCCATAAACTCCAGGAAACTAAATCTTTTATTAAGTTTTTAGTTATTCTAATATGCTATAAAATATGTTAAACTGCTATAACTCTCTGCTATAATACTAGGTTAAAGTGCGATGATACAAACCTTGTAAATGGGTGGGTTTAAAAATAATTCAGAATTAGTAAAATGGGTCTAAAAGAAAAAACACCTTAATTCATTGATCCGCAAAAACGAAGAAAAGATAGGATTTTACCTTGGATCTCTAGAATCTTCTCGCTGGAAACCTCCGCCTTCTTGATTCGCTCTGCGACGCATCTCGTCCTCAGAGAGAGAAGCCGACTCCGCCGAGGATATCTGACGGTGCAGTTCCCGCCGGAAAGCCGACGTGGCGTCAGATCCGAGCGCGGGGAGGCGTGGGAGCACGGAACGCGATGCAGAGTGGAAGCCATTTTTCTTATTTTATAAATAAGGGAGAGAGATAAAGCGAATTTGAGAAATATGGTTTTTCCTGTTACGTAGAGAAGATATTATCGAATTTTCGCAGAGATTAGAAGAGTAGAGAGAGTGATAACAGAGTGGAGAGAGAAAAGATGCTAATATTTTTCATTTTTAGTTTTGTGATTTTGTGGGTATTTTGCATTGCATGTGGTCAGGAGGATAGATCCATTATTGGGATTATACCAAAGAGTTACCTTTGGTTAAATCCCGAAATACCAAAGAGTTATACTATTTCAATTATTGGGATTATAAGCAGGGATTCTATAATATATTTTTATATCAGAATCATAAAAATAAGCATAATTGGCTTATAAAATTATGTCCAAAAGCCATTAATAAAGAGCTTCCTTTATGGTTCTTCCAATGGTGGGAAACATATGGTGCTGAATTAAGCCTAATTCTAGAACCAATTATGAAGTTATATTCTTCATTGATTGAAACTCATCCAATTATATCGAAGATGAGTGATAACCAAATTATAGATGGTTTATGTTCTATTTACTTTTTTACAGAAGTAGAAATACCATGGATATGTACATGGCCTTTAGAAACAGACTGGACTAACTCACATTTGCTAATTTTGAAACGAAAGTTTTATAACAGATGGTGGTTCGGTATTCTTATACAAGAAAAGGTAAAACAAATTGAAGAGATCATTCAAAAGAATAATATTCTTCTTAAGAATAACATGCATCAAGAAATTCAAAAGAACAATCCCATGCTTAAAATAACCAAAATGGTTAGAAGGAAATATCTGCAAGCTTCTGATGCAAAAGTTCAACAGAAATGTCTAGAACATTTGAAAAAACAATTTCTTGAAGTATTTGAAACAAGTGATACGAAGAGTCACAGTTCTACTGGAGAAGATATTCATATTCAAGATGCTCAAAACCCAGAAGAAGACATAGATACGATATAGGATGAAGCTATGAGAGTTTTAAATACTCCAGATATTAAAGGAAAAAATATTGCGTGATTTGCCTAAAAATATTCTTGAGTTGAGCCTCACGGAGCAGATCAAAAGTCACTTTAAAAAAGCCACTTTCTAAAAGCAGCTTTATGAAAAGATATTCTTTTACTTTTATAAAGTAATTTTATAAAAAACCAGATGTCACGTCTCGTTTTGAAATATGACGAAGGTTTCAAACATCTTTTGAACGTTATAAATATGATGGAAGGAAGAGAAGAAGGCAGAGTTGGAAGAATAAGAAATAAGAGAGCTGAAGAAAAGAGTTAGAATAAGAGAGTTTGTAAGAGTATCCTCTGTAAAATAAGTTTGTATCTTGTAAAATATTATGGAGAATAATAAAGAATGAGTTATTATACAGATCGTACATCTAAAATTGTAAGTTTTTAGTTCTGTTTTATTTTAGTTTAATTTTGTGTTGTGTTTTTGGTATCAGGGCCATGTTTAGCTCGATTATGTCTAAGTAAATTAGCTCTTATTATTTATCTATTTGAATATTACCTGACAAGAATATAGAATTAATATATGTTCTTTCCTTTCTTTGTTTAAGAACATAGTTTATAAGCTTGTGGGATGTCATTAAAGTCGCGCAGTATAAAGCCCATTTGTTGTCAAGATGGCTTGTTAGGGTAGTGTAAGTCGTTGACAGACGTGCATGCTTTGTAACTAGGTTGTTATTTAAAAAAAAGAAAGAAAAATATTTATTCTATATCCTTATTGGATAATCTTCGGTAGATAAACTAGTAAGAATTTTTATGACAGACATAGTAGAAAGCTCTTCGGCTCGAAAAGCTAGTTATACTGGTAAAAAGATTAAAAATGCACAGTTAACTGAATATCCCTCTGAAATAGAAGCATTAAATAAATGGACTATACATGATGTTCCTAATAGAGAAATCTATAAAATTAGATTTTTTGACTATAAATCTTTGATTAATATTAAGACCCTAGAAAGAACTACTACAGTTGATAATGATGAACAAACTACTAATTACTTGGACAACTTGATATTGAACATAGATAAATATAAGTATATTCATATAGGCTTAATATAGATAGCCTTTCGACCATTAACTTTGCAAGGACTAAATGCATATTTATTAGTATGCTTAAAAGATGCTAGATGCTTAAATTGGACCCAATCATTAATGGGTATAATAGAAACTAGTCTCTGTAATGGACCAGTGTATTTTAATGTTTTATCCTCTAATATTGCTGTCAATAGATATATTAAATGGTATGAAATAAAGTTTTCAGATAATTGGGTAATACCCAATGCTATTCAACCTTTATCAATTATTAATTAAGAGGTAGACCAAATTGTTCAAATTGTTAATGGAGAAGTAGAAGTAACCTTTAATCCATCAAGAACAGTCAAACTATCTAATGTTGCTAGTTCATGATGCGGCATAAACATGTACCAAAAATGTTGCAAGTGCACAACCGTGTCAAGTTATAGTATAAAGATATCGATCCCACGAGAAATGTGTTTTGTAGGAGAAAATATAAAATCGGTTCTTATGTTGTGTGCGTGATAAATAGGAGTGATGAGTGAATGTGATTATGAAGAGATTGAGAGAGTGAAAATGGTGTGTAAATAGGTGTAAAATATAAGTGAGAGTGGATGTGACAAAGAATGAATGTGATCAATAAGGTAAGAAGAAAAAAACAAGAAACAAATAAAAATCAAGAATGAAAAAAATAAAATTCAAGAATAAAAGAAAATGCAAGAAATTAAAGATGGTGGATTCAATTATAGATATGGGTAATCTAAAATTGAACCCACTTCTTAGAAAAAGGTGATTCCCTAGAGGGTTCTAGCCTAAAGACGAATCAAACAAAATAAAAATAAACAAAAAGAAAAACTAAACCCAAGAGGGTTCTAGCCTCAAGGTGAATAGTATAAGAAATTAAAATCTAACTACAAAATAAATTATAAAATCTAAACTACAAAATAAATTGCAAGAATTAAATGAAAGAAAATAAATATACTCTATAAGCATGAAATAAATCTAATATATAAGCATAAAATAAATCTAAGGCAAGATGGTTCTAGCCTCTTGGCTATTTAACAAGAAAATAAAATCTAACTATAACCATAGAAATAAATCTAAGCTAATAAGCAATAAAAAAATAAAAGAAAAAAAGAAAAGAAATGCAAACCTCTAAATAATTCTTCATCTCCATCTTCATCATTTAACAAAGAGAAAAAATATTTAAAGTTGTGAAAAAATTATTATTATTAATTGTAACAAAAAATTATAAATTTGGAAGGCCTTCTCAATTAAGAGTAGCCCTCCTCTCCAAAAGAAGTTACAAAAATTTTTACTCCCTAACCCCTCACTCTCTACCCCTATTTATAGTAAACATCAATGAATGAGAGCCCTTGAATTGAATCCTTATCCAAAACCATCAAAAATGAGCCATTGATCTGTAACTGTTTCGTAGCCATCGATACCAGCATCGATACCGGTATCGATGCCAGCATCGATGCTGGCATCAATGTCCAATCAAAAATCTGCCTCCATAGATGGCTTCGTCCCGTCGATATAGGCGATTTTCATATATTATATGTTAAATTCCGCCTTCCGAATTGAGAGATATCGTCATTTCTTTACGGCCAACCATCTTGAATATATTTTATTTTCATATTTGATTTTTTTATTTTCTTCGGCTTCTACAAGCTACTCGGCTTGATTCTGGGCTTGAGATTTTTTTTGGCTCTTGCTTGTGTTCTTCATTTAATTCATAAGCTTTTGTTGAGAGATGAGATTTTTGGGCTTTATTCTTCATTAACCTGCAATTAAAGATAAAAACAATTATTAGTGATATATTTATTCATTAAAAATAGATAATGAGGGTATAAAATTGTAATAAAATGTGATTATTAGTTCATCTAGAAATTCTATTTCAAGATCTGGATCTTATAGAACCAGTGATGTAAAAGGTTTAAATATTTCTGAAAATAATATTCCTCATGCTTTATATAAAGAGAGAAATTCTCCTTGAAATTCAGAAGTTAGTTTTAGAATGAAATAAATGGATTTAGATAAAAATAGTTTAATAAGAAAATTTCTGAATCAGGAATTTCAACAAGAAAAACATAAAAATTTTAGAACTTGGTTTTTTAAAACATTTTCTAAGTAAGAACAGTTAAATTGGAAAGAAGAATATTATAATCAATTAAAATTAAAAATTCAAATTGAATTTTTTATTCCTTGGTTTATAATAAAATTATACTAAAAACCAAGAAAATAAAATTAGTGTAATAGAAGAACACTTTAAACAGTGGAAAACAACTACATGTAAAATTATCAGATCAGTTTATCCACCAAATGACCCTCTTTATTTAATAGGAGTCTATCCTTCTACAATAGAATCTATGGCCTTTATAAAGCCTAATGAAATTAATGAAGAACATGTGAAAGAATTAAGTAAAATAATTAAACAAAATAATTATACTAATATTCATCTTCAAACTATAGGAGAAAAATTAATCAGAATTGAAGATGCCATAGATAAATTAATTAATAAAATAAATGATGTAATACCATCATTAATATTATTAGAGAAAAAATAAAATTACAAATTCTAAAATAGAAAATACTAATATAAAACCACCAATAGATATATCGAGGTTTAAAAAAGATGATAAAATTAATTCGGAAATTATTAATATCTTAGCTAAGAAGCATAGTAATGATACAATACATACTTTAAATGAAGCTTCTACATCAACAATAATGTCTGAAGATAATAGTTGTTCGGATGAAAAAGAAGAATCTAATAATACTTCTGGAGAAATAACACTTAGACAATTATTTACTGTAGAAAATCAATTTACAGAAATTAACAAGATTAAAAATGCTCTAAAAAGATTAGAAAGATATTATTATAAAAGACCAACTCCTGCTGATGTTCTATTTGAATAAAATGATACTTTTATTCAAACGGATTATAATGGTAGAAATATCTATGAATGGAATATTGATGGATTATCTGACACCCAAATATATGCTACTATGCATAAAATGCTTATGTAGTCTACAGTTTGTAAACAAAATGGTAATATCGATAAAATGATAGCCTCTTATATTACATGTGATTTTACTGGTATCCTTAAAGGATGGTGGGATAACTATTTA